TTGTGCTAAAAAAGCACTTTTCTGGGTGAGAGGAGGGCGATTTGCTTCCTCGCTGGCCGGGGTCACAACCCGCCGTCCATTAGAGGCTCTGAGTAATCCTCACAGGTGAGCCCAGCCTCAGACAGGGTAATCATCAGGCTGACACCTGCTTGCATTGTCCCTCACTATCACATGACCCCTCAAGGGGGCATCAGGGGTAACATGTAACCCCCTCTGGACTTGTTCACCCCCAACCAGGGCTTCTCATAATCCTATTAGACCCAGTCATCTGCACTGCATTAAAAAAATGTGATGAATGATCCTAAAACACAAACCCTCTGAGTCCCCAAGAGTCCTGTGTCTCACCTTTCACACATATCACACACAGCTCACGCAAAAAATATGAGAGGACTTTTATCATTCTCCCAGACTTTAAAAAAAATATATATTTGATGTGTGCAACACTGTTGGATTAAAGAGGCTCTTCGATGTAACAGCACCCAAACTCCTTTAACTAACTGGAGGATGAATATCACTGTTGTTAAACTAGCTAGAATAAAACTTCAAGGTATTTTTTGTGAGAAAAAAAAATCTGTTCCATAGACGAGAGTTAAGCCAAACCCTCTTCTGGGCATTAAATACACAACAAAACATCTTTTTATAAACCCGAATATTCCGTCTTTTTAGAATTTTCTGATTTCAACATATCCCTGCAATATGCTTTATATATCCTCTGGCTTTTCTGCCATGCCTTAGAAACTTATTTGTGACCTATCTGACCCTTAAAACACTCAGAAATCCATTGGGAATTACAGTGCGGCACTGAGGATCATCCTAAAGTTTGACATAAGCAGGTTAAATATTTGACCACAGTGCACTACTTTGTTTTTGAGCAGACGCTGAAATACACACTGTTTCCTTTTAATAAATCGTATTATGTATTATGTATTATATAAGCCTGAATGCTAGCCTATTAGGAAAACAAAAAACAAGATTAAGAGTCTACAGACATGCCAGCAGCTCCATGAGAGTGTGTTTGGATGCAGAGTGAAACGCAAAGAGGCTGCTGCAGATAAAATGTTGAAGATGTTCACATCTGAGTTTTATTTGTTAGCATGCTGAGATTCTTTTACTTAAAACTGTTGAGAAATGTTGCTAAACACCATAAAAGTGGACCTCATGCTGGTGCTGTAGGAGAAGTCACTGGGTAAAGAATTCATCCACTGGGTACTAGGGCTGTTTGTGCAACCATTTGTGCTACTAGTGTGGTGAATGTTGATCATTAAAGTCAGTGGGGTTCGTCTTCTGGGTACCATGAATATCTACTAATTTCATGGCAATAATTGCTCAGATTTTTCACCTGAGACCAAAGTGGTAGACTAACTGATGCACTTGCATTGCCGTCCTTGCAGCCAGACTGCACAACTTAAATAGACGCTGCCGTGGTTTGTGATGTTACTCAACGTTTCTGTTAACGTTTTTCTGCATGACATTCCCCCCACTCTCTCTCTCCCGGATTTCTGACTCCATCCACTGTCCTTTCTTTAAAATAACGGCGCAAGAAGCCCAAAAATAATAACCTTAAAAGATAAAGCAATGTTCATCCCATTTATGCATCACACCTGCTGTATTCACAGTGTCAAACATATCTGAGAATTTTACAAGAAACCACTGAGAGCTCAGTGAAAAGAATGATCAAAGCTCCTGTATTTTTTAAAGTTTGACAGAGTGGAGAACGACAGATCCCAGCTTCACTCCAAATCCCCCTTTCTCTGCTGAAAACAAGCCTTATTGTGAGTTTTAACTCTCCAAAGATCTACGGCTCGTGTTCCTTAGCCTGCTGTATTACATTAGCTCTATCAAATACTCCAGAAAATCTCTGAAGCAACACAGAGAAATCGCCTTACATAACGCGTTCACAGCGGCTCCTTCCAGAGGAGGAACTTATTGGGCCCTTTTGCCCCTCGGGTCCCTCTTGGCACAGAGGGTGACCATCAGTGGGCGGAGGTGCAGATTGGAGTGGCATGGCTGCAGCTGAGGAATGCGAGGAATTCCCCTTGTAAACACCTCATGCTCGGACGGTCACCGCACTCTTATCTCCCCGTGCCTATCGGCCCCTTTAATCACCATGATGGTTGTTATTCATTACCAACGCCCCCTCTTCTTCTTCTTCTTCTATCTGCTCTTCCTGTGGCCTCTGTTTGGTCAGGGCAGGTGGGGTTGCTTCTACTGAAAGCTTTTGTTTACCTGAGGCCCCCCATGGTGAACTATTCACTTTGATACCCCCCCCCATGGGCAAACCGAGCCTGCTCTGATACTACTGTATACAGTACAATGGCTTTCAAATGTCAACAACTTGAAAGAGAGATTTCTTTCCTTCTGCACAGCCGACCCAGGCTCCTATGGGAAAGGTCTGTAGCTGATAGGATCATAAGTGGCAAAAAGAGTGGGGGGGGGGGGTCTTTTTTTCTGATGGTTGAATAGATCGCTCCTGTATACGAGCCCCCCTCTCAGCTTTAATTAAAGTCGTTTCAAAAGCAGCTGAGAGCCTTCGTTAATACTGTGTGGCATTTAAAAAACACAGGAAAAGAAACGTGTAAGTGCAGGTTGTTTTCTCCACTCGTCGCCTGGATAAAATACTGTTTTGTTCCGCGCCATGCTGGAGGAAGGTGCGAAGTCCACCCTGAGCGCATAGTGTGTAGCGTGAGGGGGGCCCATGGGGGCTGCATTCCACCTCATGGTGTACCACTCTCCACCAGTCATGAGGGACGCTTACTTACAACTATGAAACCCGCTCACATAGCCGCCAAAACTGTTTCCCATCAGCTTGGACTTTCTGCTGCAAGAGTCAGAAACCAGATTTTCCTTTTTCCTGAAACTCCCCCTCCTGATTAGTTTATTTAAGGGGGGGGGGGCTCTGTTGGCCTGGATGGGAAAGCTGATATTTTCCGGGTGTTTTTCAGTGTTCATGTACACTTTTCCTGACACTTGCGATAAGGGAGCAGCTGTGGAGATTGTTGAGCAGCCGAACTCTTCCAAATGTTGACAGTAGTTCCCACACAAACAGAGGAAGGTGATGAAATGACTGACACACACTTTTGCCTCCAATCGTGCAGACAAAAGCAGAAAGTACATGGGAAGGATTTGTTGCCGACAGAAGAGGAAAATCCTCTTGACTAAATGAAATGACAACTTCTTTTGATGTCGTTCGGCTTATCTTGACTTCGGGAGCTTTCCTGACTGACATTAACAGCCAACAAATCAAGAGTGTTAAGTTGGGCTTCATGAGCTATTCACACTGTGATGCACTTTGGGACAAAGTTTTGATATGACTTGTATGGAAACAAGGGGTTATTATTGCAATTGTTATCATTTTGCCTCTCACTATTCATGGTAGGGCTGCATGGTGCTGCAGTGGTTAGCGCTGTTGCCTTGCAGCGAGGTGGTTCCTGGTTCGAATCCCAGTCGGACAGGAGCCTGGGATGGGTTAACACGTAATGCCTTTTGCAATGCCATGACCCAATTTGAAACCCCCACTGGGACATCAATATTACAGCGTTGGGGATGCACTGTTACAGCTCTGTTGCAGAATCGAACACATAAACGGCTATCGCTTCTTAACCAACATCTGCACTAAAAACATTCCTGCTGCCTTCAGCTTTACTTTATGGTTAGTGTTAATAAACAAATGTTAGTACTGGTAGGAACTTAGATCATGAGCAAGACCGTTTGCAAGCTGATATTTAGCCCGGAGACCGACTTGAGCAATATCTGAATCTGAACTGACTACCTCAACTTAAAAACATGTAAAACAAATTCAATTCAGTGAAAAGTTGCTGAAACAAAAGTTTTTGTTGCATAAAAAAGCAATCTATGGCGTGTGATATGTTTATCTTCCAATTTGCATAAAATAAATAAGTCTGCAGGACATCTTAGTAACGTACTCCCAGGTATCGTGGCTAAAGAATAAATGTTCTCATTACAGTAAAGTGCTTCGCTCATATGTCCCCTAATACCCACATTCATGGTATCACAGCATGTCCGCTCGCCCCGAGGAAGCTGTCAGCTACAGATGTCAATGCCCCCGCTGATCCTCTCCCTCCCCCAAACACCGCACACACACACGGCACTGGAGGATTGTCCCCCCCCCACCCCCAGAACAAAGGAATGGGGGGTTTCTGTGGAGAACAGGCAACCAAACATTCCTGACACAATGGAGAGAGTGGCCAACAGGTTCAATTAGTACACACTTTAAACCGAGCTCTAAATGATCCCACTGTGCTCCAAAACAAAGCTCCACAGAGGTATTCCATGTGTTGGCGGTGGTCTTACATTTTAAGAGAGTTTCACCTATTATCTGCATTGTTGTCGCTCTGAAGTAAACCACTTGAAGGGCACTTGGGGCAAAGATCCTTAAGTTGCAAGATTGATGGATGACGGCACTCATAGAACATTTTCATTTTGGTAGAAAACACTACCACTGCTGAAAATATAGCTTACACTGCAGCCAAGTGCAAAGGATGTTTTTAGTTCATCTCTGCAGGAATTGTCCCCGAAAGTCTAATAAAACACTTCAGAGTGCATGTGCATCCTGTTTTTTTTAAGGGACTGCCAAAAGAGAATGTCACTCAACATGATCACTTAAAAATGTGATTAATCCTCATCTGTTCAGTGAGATTTGGATTTTCAAGGAAGGTTCAGGAGATCTGACCAACACCAACAGATCAACTTCTGATGAAGGTATTTTCCTGTCTTGATTTCCAACACCTTTCTACACCATGAATGGCTTACATGGCAAAATCTTCTACTCTACATTGGAAAATGTTGCAGTGTTATTGAATGCAGTGATTCGGGCTGTGTGTTTGTGACAGTCACTGCAGCTCAACTGAATTTCAACAGACGCACAGCATAATCAATAGGCGTATGTATTGCAAAAGAAGCAGCCAATAAAAGCCACTACAGGTGCAGAGCAGAGGCTGAGCTGTCTGATCTGAAGTAGTGGAATAAACGGGTGTACTCACCTCCTACACAAGGTGCGCCGTAACGTCGGGTACTTGGCGTATCCGAGAGAAACGAACCCCAGAAGCCGCCGTGTCACACCATCCAAACGCACATGTTTCCAGTCCCCCACCGATGAAGTGTCACAGTCATGAGCTGCAGAAACTGAGCCAGTAGACTGCGGGAGCGGACCGTGTCGCTGTGGGTCGCAGGCGGCACAGCGTGTCCAGGCGCCCGATCAGATGCGTTTAGGGCGCCACCCCTCGCCGGACCTCTGCGCCCACCTTTTTTTTTTTTTTTTTCCTCCCTCACTCCTGACGGCTGTAAACAACGGGACACGAAGGGAACTCTCCGCCTCGAGTCTCCGCGGACACCGTGGACGAAACGGTGATGCGTGATGGCTCGTTAGTTGCGTGGTGCGCAATTAGAGAGGCGCGTAGGACGCCGGTGCCACCCACTAACGGGGGATTTCGTGGAGTGTGTACGGGAAGGGAATTTTAATGAGGACTGCTGCAGAGTTTGCTCCCTACGCGGGGGGGAGTCGTACTCTCTCACTGTCTTTACAGTAACACCTTGAAGTTATCTCACAGGTGGAGCGGGATGACGAAATAAAGAAACAACCAAACTCACCTCTCGGCAACCTTCCAGTCAGCCGAGTGGGCTGGATTAGAAGACACCTGTTGACTGAAAACACTTGAGACCTCCTGACTCAATAACAAACAGATACAGTATGAGTGATGTACCACTTTATTTCTGCAAAGCTTTTAACCCCCCAGAAGATGGAGATTGACAATCTGATATATTGTTTAGTAAGCTGTTTGAGCAGGTAGTCGATTCTTCAATCATTCTTAAGAGTCAATAAAAAGTTTCCCAGAGCTTCACCAAAATGTACTTTCCTAATCTAATTCATTTGAAGTCTTTTAATCTGACCTAACACATTTCCAAACATACATTTAGCAACAGATTCAGATTCATTATAAAACAACAAAGCTGGGGGGTTGTGTAAAATGTCAATAAAACCAGAATCTGATATATTACAAAATACTGAAACCCCATATTTATCTTTTTAAAGGGTTATTTGTTGGGCTTTTTAGCCTTTAATTTGAGACAGGACAGTGGATAGAGTAAAAAATCAGGGAGAGAAAAGGTGGGCATTGACATGTGGGAAAGGAGCCACAGGTTAGGTTCGAGCCCGGGCCGCCCACTTTGAGGACCGTCGCCTCTGTACATGAGCTCGCGCACTAACCACTAGGCTACTGGCGCCCCTTTAACCCCATTATTAAAAAGCCAACATATCAAAAGTATTAACTGAGACATTTGGTTTGTTCTGGAAAATGATGTGCCCAATGTTAAATCTGATGCTGCTTCTCAATGTATTGAAAGTCATCAAGTTCCAGCGTTTGATGTAGAAAGCAAGTTCTGGGGAAGAAAAACACTATTAGTGAATGTTAAAGAGTGCAATAAATAAAAAAGGATGGCTACAGCTGCTTTTATTTCACTTCATTAACATTCTTAAATATAAAAAAAAGGATGCTGCAGATTTGTAGGCTTCAGTGGGCTTCTTTTCCCAAGATAGCTTTAATCTGTTTTTAATCTGACGAATAAATCTGGTGTATTCCAAACCTTTTAGTTTGAGATATACTTAAATGGACAAACATTAGAGCACAGACGTTTGTCTCAGTTTAGAGGAGAGTGCTGCAGCTCAGTGGTTTCAACCTTGGAGGTAGAGCCCAGAGAGAGTATTGAGATACATCCAGGGTGTTGCAGGGATATTAATATATATATTTGTTAGAGACAGGACAGTGGAGAGGGTCAGAAACCAGGAGCGAGAGAGAGATGACATGCGGGAAAGGAGCCACAGGACGGATTCAAACCTGGGCTGCCTGCTCTCGAGGACCTAAGCCTCTGTACATGGGCCTGGCACTAACCGCTAGGCTACCTGCGCCCCTTGCAGGGATATTTAAAAGTGAAAAAAAAACCCCACTGAATTTCAGGTTGAGAAACACATCCTCATCTTAATAACTGACAGTTCAGTTGGTAATGAGAAATTAAACCTTGCACGTTCTTCTTGTGCAAACTTTGAAAAGGCCCCTCACGCTGCTGCTGCTGCTGTCTGTGTTGGTGGCCCCTGCAGCCTGAGTCATGTTCCTCTGTCAGAACAGCTCCTCCTCCTCTAATCCCACACCTCTCAAACCGCAGCTGAAGCCTGAATCTGTCAGGAGTGTGTCAGCTGCTCTTCCTGTTATGAGGTTAAACCACTTATCTGTCCATATGGGAGCTCAGCTAGCACCCTGGTACCAAATAGCTCATCACTTTACTAAAAGCCTAAACCGACACCGGGTAAACAAAATCTGGTGTTTACTGTTTGGAGGGATCAACGGCACAGAAACACATCGGTGTGAATTGACGTGTTAGCCACTGGAAGCTGATTTCACTCCTTAAGAGTAGCGGCACAAGATTTAGTAGTAGTACAAATTTACAATAAAAGATGGAGATGCATGTTTAATTGAAAATTAAAATTAATCATATTCTCAGAGTAGGAGCTGTGAATGTGAGTCAACCGCAAATATTACATTAATTATAAATACTTGCAATAAAACTTTTTTTGCAGGAACAAACCTGCACGAGAAACTCACTTTCCCATTCTGCTGCTGAGAAGTTACCTGTGACACAGCCCCGAGTCATACAGTGATGATGTACCGCCCCCTCATGGCCAGGTCATACTACTGCACCCAATTACAAACCGTGACTCGACAATTCCTGCAGACGTTCATCGGGTCATCCATCAAAGTCTAAATGCAGCCGGCGTCCCACTGCGATGCTCTCTAATGAGGAAGCCGGAGTGACATAACAAGCGCTGCATTTATTTTATTTTCAAGCCATAAAAAAAGCAATATATTATTTACAATTACTTTCACAGACATTTGGAATTTTAAACGGCAGAATCTTAGTGTCGACATTTCAGTTCAGACGTGTCTTTTTCAGCCTGGAGTCGTCCGCGGCCGCTTTACGCTTACGTGACGGCGTGCCTGGAGGGTCGTCAGGCGGAGCTTCGGTCAGGTGGTACAGCTCGATAGGGGGGGTCGGCTCCTGGAGGAAGGGTGAAGAAGGGGAATCTTTTAACGTTTCATCTTCTGACTTTAAGCTCATTCTGTCTTAATACTGGAGTCCTACTTCATGTAAAAAAACATAAACCTGGGATATTTTAAACATCCTGAAAATGTGTTGAAGCTTTGCACTGGTGAATAAATCACGAGTTAGAGACAATTACTACTTTTATCACTCTCAGCTGTATTCCACTGACCTGCATGAGGTAGTCTGCGATGTACTCTGGCTTCAGGCATGTGACTCCGTGGGAAGACGCCTCTGATATGCCGACTCTGAAGTCTCCAGGCTTCAGCCGATTGAAGTCTGCAAACAGGTGAGTGGCCTCCTTGTACAGAGACGGCGAGGGACCCGGCAGGACCTGCAGACATGAAAATCTAAGTAAAACTACGGCTTCTATAACTTCTTGTTCTTGTAATGTCATCCTTTAAAATGTATTTTCCTGCATTTAAAATCCTGCTTTTTCCTGGACCTGCTTTCCATGGTCAAAACTGAAAACTCTTTTTTTTTTTTTTTAAGCACCAAGACAAAAGAAAAAAAACAAAACAAGCATGAACCTTAGCACCGCCAGACTGCAGTAAGCGCCTGAAGCCTGACTCTCTGCTCTGGTCAATGTTCAGCATGACTGTCCATCCACTGAAAGCTCCCTGAAAAACACACAAAGTCAGTGTTACTTTCACACTCAGGTAATAAATGTTACAGTACAAACTGCAGTGGTTGGAACTGTTCTGTTGGCTGTATGTGTGTGTGTGTGTGTGTGTGTGTGTGTGTGTGTGTGTGTGTGTGTGTGTGTGTGTGTGTGTGTGTGTGTGTGTGTGTGTGTGTGTGTGTGTGTGTGTGTGTGTGTGTGTACGCACTTCTTGCTCAGAGCGTCCCTGCAGGGTTTTTCTCCAGCGCATAGCAGCTAAAGCTAGTCTCCTCTGCTGGGAGGTGATGGAGGGCAACGCATCCAGGATGGAGCTACTGCCCCACTCGTACTCGTCCTCCTGCAGCACAGAGGAGGATGTTAAATCTTTAATAGCATGAAAAAATATCGGCGGATGGATGAAGAAAGTTAACTTAACGGATACTTTTAAAACTGTTTGAAGTTTTTCAGTGAACATAGTTGTGAAGCTAATGACTGCAGGTCTTAGATTAAAAAAAAAACATAATGCAGATACTTCAGAGAACCAGTTTTCATCCTATCACTTTTCTGTTCTATATGCAATCATTGTCAAAGAGACAACAAAAAGCCAAAGGTATCTGGTTTATTTTATTTTTTTCTTCCCAATTTGTGACTTTTTAAAATTGCTTTGTTTTCTTTTTACTGCACAAAAAAAGCAGGCAGAGGTACAACCAAACCTAAACTTTTCAGAAAATGTAATACTGAATAATAAATCTGATTCTAATAACGGTAAACTTAAGATTCCTAAAACAATCAAGGTGGTTTGTATGTGGAGCCACATATCTCATGTTAGACACTTTAACACAACACCATGTTGTTCAACTTTGTTTTAACCTGTTTTAGACTATGGTGATGATTTGTTCATGCACACCTCTGCTCAGTGGTTGATACAGCCTACCATGCATCCTTGAGGTTCATAACAAACTGTAAAGCTCTGACTCACCACTGAGTGCGACCTGTAGGCTCACACACTGGTACACCTTTATACTGTACATAATTCTTGGTCTGCGCCCAACACTATCTGTGTTTTTATAATGCAGAGAAGTGCCGGACAGTATTCTTTGAACTCTCAGAACCTTTTCATGCTCTCTGTCTGAAACACTCGAACAGAAATTGGGAAAAGGGCTTTTGGGTATCCTGCACCATCAGCCTGGAATGACTTGAAACTCAAGGAGCTGGTGTCCTTAAATGATTTTAAAATATAAAATGAAAGAAGTGGAAGCAGATTCTATGGGATGTCGATGTTTTAAGCTCGACTGCTTGAAATACTGACTCCCAGATTCGACTCTTCTTATGCATTTTGTAAATTGTACTCTCTCTCTCTCTTTGTGTTTTAGGTGCTGCCTGTCTCGGCCAGGTCTACCTCAGAAAAGAGGTTCTTGGTCTCAATGGGACCAGCCTGGTTAAATAAAAAAAACAGAACTACTGCAATCAGGATTTTAACTCTCAGGTTCTGACCTGGATGTAGCGACCCACGGAGCGGCAGGCCTCCAGGTATGAGCGGTGCAGGATCCATTTGCCGGCCGCCATCGCTGCCAGATACTTCTCGTTGCGCAGAGGAGTCCCGACGACGATGTGGGAACAAGTGGGGTCAAAAGACTGCTTGTCAAGGACCACGCCCCCTACGATAGCAAACAAATGCACACAGATAAGACATTCTTTACAAAACTGTTAGGAGTTAAAGTTATGTTAAAAAGGTTTTATTCTCGATGCACTGAGATAACATAAGGCATATATGAGAATTCTGCACGACGTGAGTGTGAGTGGAAGTGTCTGTGGGAGGAAATATTCCCAGAGTACTGCAGGCAGATCCTCCCCGTTAGTCATCGGGGATTAGCTTCTCTGACTTCAGGCCTGTGATGTGCAGCGTGATGAAACACTGTTAGAGGACTAATTAGACTCACCGAGCTCCTCGATGAGGTGGCTGTAATCAATGCGCTCCTGAGGGCTGAGGGAGGACAGCTGGAATCTGGGGGGCTGCTTTTCTTCCTCACGCTTTTCGTCCTGAGAGACAGAGAAAGTTTTAGCACATGTTTCTAGTTTAAAGAGACGGTATTCAGTCGATTTATTACACACACACACACACACACACACACACATAATATTTCTTAAATAGCTGCTTATGTAGATTTTAAAAGTTGATATAAATATGAATGTCCACCTGTGGTCCTGGAGCTACTGGGGGTTTGGTGAGTGGGAAAGCGATGCTGGGCGCCTCAGGAGTCAGGATGGCATTTCCTCGCCTGTCTGTCGGAGGCGTTCGTACCTTCCGCCCCATTTGCTGCTCGATGACATCACAAGCAGCTAGAAAAAGAAAAGTGATAACAGTGACGAGTTAAACCACTAGGCTACCGGCGCCCCAGTATGGTTTTGATTCTGATTAGAACTCTCAAGAAGAGCTGTCGTTGTTGTGCTTTGCCTCTGTGCGCTTCCTGTCAGCCCGATCGGACTCAAAGCTGTTTGTTTGCTTTCCTCTTTCCTTGTGTCTTGTGCTTGTGTTGTTCTTACTCTCTGATGTACGACCCTTTGGATAGAAGCGTCTGCTAAATGCATTGTAGAATTGTACATATACTTTAGTGCGATCAGCTCCTGATCTCTTACCCATCTCCACCAGCTCAGAGTCCGTCATGGAGTCCCTGAAATGAGCGCCATTTTTCTCCGCAGTGGGAGGCGGCACAGGAGCGAGGGGCTCAGAGTTCTGTGAGGGACTGCCAGGCCACTGTAAATTATCCGCCAGCTTAGCCCTCTCCTGTCTGGCTGTGGGGTCGTCCCAAACGATCTGTTCACTCTGAGACGGCTCTGTGTTCATGTCCATGGCGGCTTCTCTGGTGACCCTGAGGTCAGAGGACAGAGCGAGGTCAATTTAACCCGAGGTGGAAGTTTGTCAACAACACTGAAAGCAAACATCGACTTCAACAAACTTTCAAGTATATCAGAAGTGACTGTAGCCTTCCTTATGTGAAGGCAGCAGTAAATAAAAATGTTTTAATGGGTTCTTAAAAAACTAACAGATTAAGAAAGCCTCTGGGAATCAAGGGAAGCACTGACCTTTAACCTCACCCCAGCATCATGACATAGAAATCAATTATTGCCACAGTTTGACCATGGCTGTCTTACCTCAGAGCTTCCAGAGTTCGCCTGTTCCCACTGCGTCCGACCCGGCTCGCGTCAGGCGTGTGGGGGCCCGAGTCGGCCCCTCCTGATCCTATCCTGCTGAGTCTGACTGAGGTGCGGCGTCCCGTCGTTAGCTTCGTGGCTGACATGATCTCCTGGAGCTGTCTTTGCAGGTTCTCTCTCATCTCTAGAGTCTCTGAAATACCTGGACACAAGTCATAATGAAGAAAGAATTATTTAAGAATTCTGGTTCCAACAAGTACGTGCAGAAACTTAGTTCAGGTAGCTTTATTTGTATCTGTGGCGTGTACAGAGTCCTCTAAGCAGGCGGCTCAGGTTCAAATCCGACCTGTAGACAGACAACTAGTCTTCAGACTACTCAAAGCGCTTTGACACCACAGGAAATACCGACACATTCACGGCTGTGGCTCAGCTGGTAGAGGCGGTCGTCTCTCGACAGGTAGGTTGGTGGTTTCGATCCTCAGCTCCTGCAGCCAGCTAGGTTAAGTGTGTTGCCCGAGGACACATCGGACATGTAGCTGCCGGAGCTGGAGATCGAACCCCTAAGCTTCCGGCTGCCCCATGTGGGTTCTTCCCCACTCTCTCTCTTTCTCCCTGATTTCTGTCTCTATCCACTGAACTGTCTAAAAATAAAGGCCAAAATGAAACCTTAAAAAAACAACAAGATGAATAAAAAAACTAGACAGGAATAAAAATAGACCTTCAAACAATAAAAACAAGTCAAAATGTGCCATCAGTGTGTTGTGAATAACATAGAAGCTGGTAAAGGAGACTCACCGCTCTTATCTGCAGCATCACGCAAATCTTCTTCATCTACGCTTCCGTCACTTACTCTGCGTAAAGTGGTGGTCTCTTCTGGGTTCACACTTTGATCACACTGCGGGCCAGATAATTCAATAGTGAAACAGACAGGACATAGATGAGGAACCTCTTTATCAGATTAAAGCTCCTAATATTGATTCCCCTGAGAAGCCCACACAGCAGCCGACGAGTCACTGGATCTTTACAGACACAGCAACAGAAGTGACGCGACTCATCCGGACCCACCTTGTCCTCCTTTGCCTCGGCTATCTCTCTGAGCTGTGTTCGTGTCAAAGGTGGCGACCTCTGCGAGCAGTTGGGCACCTGGCTGAGGTTGAGACTCATCTTTGGGTTGAAGGTGAAAGGATAGAGGGACTCAGGAACGCGTCTCTGCTCCTCGGCACACTGCACAAGGAAACAGAGGACGCTTGTTAGCGCAAACAGACGCAACACACATCAGTTTAGTAGAATTAGAATTAATTGGGAGACGTAACTGAGACTCCCATCTGTCTGTACAATTAGCAAACCAAAGTTGTTCTTAATTAAATATTCTATTTTTTTTGGGTGCAGAATGATAAATATTTCTCCAGGTGAAATGTGCAGATGAATCCTGAAGTAAAGCAGGAGGAAGAAATCCTTCCTGCATCTTATCCCACCTCCCCCGATACCATTTTTCTTAACAATGAGTAAGGTCATTTGCAACGATTGACTGCAAATAATGATTGATTTAATAAATTAAATGTTACTTGATGCCCCAATTCATCTAGAGGAGTAAAATATATCATACATTGTCAGGAAGTGTTTTCAATATTTTCTATGTGTTGCACTCGCAGTGAAAAAAACCCCAAGTGGATCATTGCTTAACGTACAGCCTGCAGCCAGTGCTGGGAGACCACATGCAGCCCTCTCTCCTTCACTCCTCTGTATTCCCGGGTGTTGTCTCCCACACGGCCCTGGTAAACGTAGTGTGTCACTGTGTCGTCACAAGCCCACCTTTAAAAAAAAAAAAAAAAGAAAGGAAAGGACATGAGATGCTTGCGTCCTAAATAAGTTCATAAAAACTCCCAATCAGGAGATAGGACGTGGGAGATGACGTTGGGGGTTGACATTAATTGGATCATTAGCTGTGACAAAGTGTGTTAATTGGTCAAAAATGTGTAACAAGATAACTGAGTGCAGGATGAGTCATCAGACATCGTTTACAGGAAGAGGAAATAGAGTTATTTAGATGTCTAAGTACTCAGATAATGCTCTACAGAAATATTTCAGGCAGATGAATGAATATTTAATGCTTTATCAAAACTGAGAAAATGTGTTTTTACTCTCTTTCATGGGGTATGTTTGCAGCCAACCTTTCCTTTAAAATATGTGCATGCTGACATTGATCGTATTAAAGATCGATCATTTCTTGTAACTGAAGTTTGAAAGAAAATATGTGTAGGAAACCTGAAGTCAGCTCCCAGCGAGGCAGCAACAGCATTGAGCTCGCTCTGCATCTTGCTCAGCTTCTTTCCCACACAGATCACAACACCAGCCAGAGGAGCGGCTTCTTTTTCAGGGACCTTACAAACACAAACAATCAGACGATATGGTAAATGGACTTGAGCCTGTGTAGTGCTTTTCTTACACTGCAGGTCACACCTACACATTCACACCCTGATGGTAGAGGCTGCTGTGCAAAGTGACCATCAGAATGAACTAATCCATTCATACGCTGCCGATGAAGCAGCAGGGGTTTGGTTGTCTTGCCCAAGGACGCATCAGACATGTGGCTGCGGGAGCTGGAGATCGAACCCTGAGAGACGACCGACTCTACCACTGAGCCACAGCCAATATATTAAACAGTATGGGTGGGATACTACATGACAGTAAAAGTTGAAGTAGTTTTTAAACTTAATTTACATCATTTATAGACAGTCCCATGAGTAATGGCTCCTGTAAATTGTACTTTTATCAAAACTAATTTGCACCTTTAAACTATAACAATGATGACACACTTTCTGGATGGGTTATTCAAAGGTTTGAGAACATTTTAACAATTGACAATACATATCAATATCAGGCTGTGTAGTCAGCCACACAGAAAGGTTTGGAACCATTGTTAAGTTTACCTCCTTCTCAGTGGTCTTGTAAACTGTGGGCTGGCAGAGACAGCTTGCATATCTATGATGCTGTTTCTGCTGCTGTTGGCCAGGGCCACCTTCATGTTCCTGTTGATGACCTCAGTGAGAGGGGTCTCCGCCTTCTCTCCTGGTTTGGCTCTTCCCTCTGGAGTCTCCAGTTCTCTGAGTGCATCCTTAACAAAAGGAACAGTCCATACAGTGCCTTTACAAAACGATGAATCAAACATCATGTGCACAGCAGATTTACAACAGAAGGAAAAACCTGTAATTGTAGCACGAGATTCTGATGCTGCTCAGTGGGTTCAAACCTTGACATTGAAGGAGGGCCTGAAGAGCTGATCTCTGCTGAGGAAACGAGAGGGAGTGTCCAGCTGCAGCGGGGGCTCCTTCTGCAGAGGGTTCCTTCTGCTGCTCTCCTGGTTTTGTTTGGGGGTGCTGATGTCCTCTTTGGGCTTCCTCTCGTCCATCATGGACTTGAACATTTTGCTCCGGAAGCGACTGACATCCAGTGGGGTAACGGCCTTACCGCTCTGAAAACCCAGCAGGGGGATCTCTGGAGACAAACGGGCTGGAGGAGGCATGGATGGCTTCTGGGAACCGCCGACAAAACTCTCGTCCTCCCTCTCTGATTAAAAAAATACAAAAATATAGCAAATCTCATTGACAATTCAAAATATTCTGCACCTCTCCTACCGTTTGAATAAATACACATTAATTCACATCGACACAAACACTCAAGGAAAGACTTTTCTAACCCGGTGAAGGTGGCAGGTCAACTAGAAAGCGCCCCTCCTCTGCCCTCTGGCCGCTCCGAGCTGACGCCAGCATCCAGTGCATGGTGACGGCTGGGAGACCCCATTTCTTCGCCGCCTGGTACTTTGTGCCTTCAGGGCTCTGCAGCACCAGGTGACTGCTGGCCAGCATGCCTTTCTTCTGGTTGGCCAGGCGCACAAAGTAATCCTGGACACTGCAGGAGGGACAGAAGGAAGGGTAACCGATGCATCGGTTCATTACAGTATCGGCCGATATTGATGCGTCATGAAACGATGTTAGTAGCCGAGCAAAGCACTAAAAACGTGTGTTCAAATAAAATGGCCTGACCCTCTCTTAAATCATATAATGTACTCAGAAAAACATTCCTCTTTACGTCTTATGAGTGAAAAGTAAACCAGCGTGTGTGATCAGAATGCAGTGTGTCCGTACTTTGCACCGAGGTGCTTGGCCAGCTCCACCAGAGACTCCCTCTCTGCTCCCATGAACTGACTGACGGAGAGCACGCAATCTGTGAGAGGAAAACGTCCGTCCATCACAGGAACAGGAGTGAACAGAGGGTTGGAGGAGAGCTGCAGAACACACTCCTTCTCCACACACATGGCCTGAAAAAAATTAAAGAGAGAGCAACACAATTCTGTCAGGCGTCAAAGAAGCAAAAAGAAAACGCATCACAGGGCACAAAATGATGGAGCACACAGACTAAGGTGACGGAGTCAAGCCCTTGATTAATCTCTGATACTCTCTCTCCTTTGTTGAAGGCATATGTGACATTCTGAATATTAATTTAATAAAAGTCAAATATACCTTATGTAAATACATTGTGGAGAAAAGACTCTCTTAAAACAGAGTGACGAAAAACTCTCTCTGACTTTTGTTGTTGTCGGCTTGTTTGTTTCGCTCAGACTTCAACTTGTTTCATGTTTTTTTTTTTTCCCTCTCTAACCGTTTGACCTGCCACCACGAGGGGGAAGAGAGACGGCCCTGCCCACTTAGGCTGTTTCTAGATCTCCACAAAGATTAAATATTATATTAAAATAGCTATATGCATTCTGCAGTTTAATGAATTAATCAAAAATGCTTTTTGCCTTAAAATGGGAGTCAAAAAAGTACATGACTGTGATCCTACCAGCCAGGTATCAGTGACCACTTCGTCCACAGTGGCTTCTACAGAACAGCCCAGCAGTGGGACCACCGCATAGTCAGCCACAACACGTGTGCGGCCCATCAGCACCCTGCCTCCATTGTCCGTCACCAGCACAGAAAGCTGGGCCTCAGCGTCAGCAGCGAAGCCCACAAGAAGAAAACACTTCTCGAAAAACAGGCCTGCATCGCTGGCCTCCTGCAGGATGGATTCAGCCTCTGATGCTCTGGTCCGGTCTGGCTCTACAGCTGTGCTGAAGGACTTCCTGCTGTTTTCCTCGGCTGGAGGGGGGATGTCCACTGTAGGGTAGAAGGACAATAAGATAAGCTGCAATATATAAAACGATATCTCGTATCACAGATGATTCTTCAACAACAGAGACTCGCCGACTGTAGGGTCGTCGTCATCCATGTACTGTGAGAGCAGATCTTCATCCGTCCTCTTCAGCAGGGGAGTGCTGGGACTGGCTGCAGGCGGAGCAGCTGAGAGTCGAGGGGTGGGGGTGTGACGGGCGGGGACGGAAACGGCTGGAGGCAGACAGTCAGGGTGGAGGTAACCCTCTTCTGGGAGTAGACTTCCTTTGTTGAAACTGTCCAGCAGCCACTGCACAGTTACTACATGAGGTCTGTGAGGTTATTTACAGGGGGGGAAAAAACACAGACCAAATGTGTTAATGTGCAGTTCTGTAACTAACCATAAAAACACGACAACAAATGTAACATTAAGAATAATGTAAGAGTGGCGCTGGTAGCATAGTGGTTTGTGTTTGTGCCCTATGTACGGAGGCTGTAGTCCTCCGAGGGAGCTAGGTTCAAATCCAACCGGTGGCTCCTCTCCTCCTTTCCCGCATGTCATTCCCCAGTCTCTCTCTCTCCCTGATTTACGACTCTATCCACTCTCCTATCTCTACAATAAAGGCCCAAAAATAACCTATTAAAAAGGATAATGTAAGGATATGTTCCAGGTTTAACCAAGACATGACATCAGTTAACGTAATCTTTACACATCAATTTGAAGTGTTTATGGTATTTTAAAGAGTTTTTGGTACAAGTCTCCCTATAAAGGACAAACATCTGCATTGTTACAGATGTTTCTGGTCTTATTTGAACCTTAAATGTCCTGGTTACATTGAATGTCCCTTATCAATAAACCACCAGGACTATCTTTAACTTCAATAGTTTCTAAATTCTTCTTATTAAAATATTTACAGCACTTTCATTTCATACTCAGATCTTTGGAATAACATAGCTGCATAGGTAGTAAATATGAAAACAGAGAAGAAGACGTTTAGGAATGTGTGAGAAGAAAACATACAGTCAATACAATGTAAGGTCATAATCCATGCACTTCAGACCTATGTGTTGCCTTTGAGAGAAAGTTCTTTAGTTCCAGGTCCAGCTCTCCCATGACCACATGCGTGAGCTCCTCACTGGGCTGGTTGAAGCGCAGACCTCCTGCTGCGTTCACGAGACGCCGCAGTTTCTCCAGCTTCTTTCCCGGCAGGCCGCACAGATACAGCTGCACAACAATAAAACAACTTGTGAGACAAAGAATCTAATTTGTTTCGTCAAGAGACTGCTGTGAGATTTTTAAAAAAGTAACGTTCTCCTGTGTACCTTACAGCCATCCAGTATATCTTCAGCCGGGCAGACGGTGAGGTCCAGGCTGTCTATGGGGTCGGGAGCTTCCAGGCGACTGATGGTGCCGTTGGTAAGGGCCGTGTCATTTATTGTCATGCTAGCGTTAACAGAGATGTGACTCAAGCCCAACAGAGAAGGCCCATCTGAGGTAAAAAAGAAAAACAGGATTCCATATTGCAATTAATTATGTATTGATTAAACCAACAATGAATCAATTCATATTTACAGAAGAAACGTAATGTTGTGCTCCAACCTTAATGACAGAGTGACAAAGTCTACATTTTAAATAAAGTAAAAAATGAAGTCTTTTACTCACCCTCTTTCTTGCTCGTTCCAGTAGGCGTTGACGTGTGTGGTCTTGTTTGTTTCGCTGCATTACGCTCCACGGTGTATCTGCTCTCATCTTGACAAAATCCTTTCTCTATGCTGTCAAACAGCCAGTGCAGAGAGACGCAATACACATTCCACTTACGGGCACACTCGTACTTCTGACCTGCAATCAGATATAAGCACTGAGACTCAACCTCACACCGCTGACAAGACTGCTACGTTTTCATGACTACGTTTGTCTTAAAAAAAGGTTTTTCATTTGATTTATCCCAAAGTGCTGAAACTGATGGTGACTTGCCTGTTGGTTCGCTGACTATGAGGTGTGTGCACTCGTTCATTTTGAGCTGACCCGTGTAGTTGGCTCCATGCTGCTCACAGAGGCGCTGCACCTCTTTACGATCTGTGCTGGAGAGGCCGGTCACACAGACGGTACAGCCACGAAGCACAGGGCACAGGTAGTCCTCCATGGGCAGATCTGTGTACGTGAAAAGACTGAAAGACGCAGAGGGAGGAAGTCCTTTATTATCACACATTTTACCATTCAACTTGATGCACTTGTTTTCCAGAAAGAGTTAATATGGCTAACTAACCCCTACAAAACAATTGCTTATCTTATTAAAATAACTTAAGGAGGACAAATCATTGCACACACCTGTCCTGAGATTTCTCCCAGCAGGCTTTGACCCAAGCAGGCAGCAGGATGGGTTTACCCAGGCTGGCAGCTACCAGGTATTTCTTGCTGCCTACCTCTCCTGCGATCAGGTGCGTGACAGATACATTAAGGTCAAGATAGACCCGTCCACCCATGAGTTCCACCAGATCCATCACCTCCGTCTACAAATAGACAGAAAGGGAGACTTTCAGACAAAAAAAATAGAAGCTAAAAAACACTCTGCTGAGTCATCTGGTTTTGGGTAACACATGGATGATCCCTTTCACTGTTAATCTTGTGAAATACTCATTTCATTATACCTTTATATTTCATAGCAATGACAAAAGTATCAATCTACATGTCATATATTAAAGCCGCATTCAGTTTGCACTACGATTATGTAATAGTTGTCATTCATTCATGCAAGAAAGCCTCTTTAAAATGGGTCAATGAAAGAGATATTATGTTTTCTGCATCTGCATAAAAATTATTTTAACTATGTTTTTGCTTCATGTTTAAAGTTTCAGTCCTAACTTTGCTGATTCATTAGAGCATGAGTCTGCAAAGTATCGGAAGTAAATGGTAAATGGACTTGAGCTTATAGAGCGCTTTTCTAGTCTTCCGACTACACAAAGCGCTTTTACACTAATGTCACACCCATTCACACCCATTCACACACTGATGGTAGTGATCGCTATGTAGTATCATCCATCAGAAGTAACTAATGCCATTCATACACCGCCACCGAAGCAGCGGGAGCAATTCGGGGGTTGGGTGTCTTGCCCAAGGACACATCGGACACGTTGCCCAGCTGGAGATTGACGACTCTACCAACTGAGCCACAGCCGCCCCAAGAAGTAGTGAACCAACCCGCATCGCTTTATCCAGGCTTGTGCAGGAAATAGTGATGTCAGCCATGGCCATGTTATAGACGGGCTTCTCCGCCTTGGGGACACAATGCTGCTGCTGCAGACAGTACAACACCACCAGTGGACTCACCACTCGGCAGCCGAGCTAAACGAGAAATAACACAACAAGGAATGAGTGAGGAGGAAATACTGGAGTGATGAGGCTTCAAAAAATACTCAGTGTCATGGCATCAATGGTCGAGTCGGACCTTTTTACAGTGCAGAAAGGCGGGGGTGGCGAAGCTGCTGAAGACAAACAGAGATTTGTCATTGTGGTCCATTTGTAAAACAGCATCTTCATCGATGGTTTTTAAGTGCTTCTCAGACTGCAGCTCCAAAATGGCCTGTAAACACAAGACACAACATCATCAGGTACAAACAAACAAACAGACACAAGCTGTCATCGTTATCAGCCACACAATAAGAGCTCTTACCTCGTATGCTTTGGTAGCATACTCTGATTTCTGTCCTTCACTTTCCACAAACTTCACAATGAATGCTGCCTGGTCTCCTTTGGACATGTTGGACATTTGACTGGATAAGAAAGGGAAATAAATCAGGTTTTTCTTCGTCTTTTAAAGCTGGGGTTGAGATATTAGCAAGGCAACATTAAACAGAAAACAGAGATACACCAGCAGGCTGTACAGTTTCTTACAGCTAGTTTAAAACACTCCTTGTATATTATATTTAATCTTGTACTTACTGCAGGCCCGCTGTCAGTGATTCAGTGAAAACTCTGACAGGAATAAAAGCTTATAATATAATAATTCAAAGTCCATACGTGCTCATCATGTCTTACACAAAAGGTTAGTAGTCCCTATTTATTAAAATACTTAATAAGTACACGGGAAGACATCAGGAAAATTTGGTTTACGAAATTGAAGTGTTAGCTTTGTTGTTGTCATTCGCGCCAACTGCGTCACATCCGGTGTTTCCTACTAGTGCGACCGTGTGGGAACAGACATCGGGGTAGAGGGTGGAAACGATCTGTGTTGCCAGGTCCGCTTCTTATAAGCGACTTCGGGCTTGTTGTTATGCAAAGTCGCTTGCACATATCGTCAGTCGCGGGTTGCGGGTTTTTGGGCTTGTTTTCTAAAGTGCAGTTGCTCCCTTTATGATGAACTCCTCCTGATTCAATCCCAACTCTCCACAATAAAGCCAAACATATATAGATAGTTTGTCCATTTCCAGGATCCGTCCACAATGAGACAAGACAAACACACACACATATATATATTATCAATATGTTATCAACTGCTATCTATGTGGTAGGTTAGGTCACCTGTTTGGCTTCATTTTATTTATTTGAGGAGCCAGGTCGCTTGTTTTGGGCTTGTTTCCACAGAGCTGGTTGCTTGTTTCTCTCGCGAGATCTGGCAACACTGGAACCGATGAGTCGAGAAGGTTTTAGTCCTGTGTGATAAATACAAATCACTATGTAGATTTTTTTTAGTAGAATTAGAAAGTTGTAGAAGTGAAACAATTCGATGCTATAGTTTCTGAACTAAATCCACAAACTTTATTCAAAGAAAATGGGTCCCTGGAGAGTTATGGTTTCACTGTTGCCCCCCCTCCCCCCAAATTTTGTTTTTTCCTCTAAGGACAGTTTGTATGTACAGTTATGAACATTTACCACAGAATCCGTACACTTTTCCAACTTTCATATTTCTCTACTAAAACTCGATAGTGCACCTTTAATATTAAATACATATATTTTTTTGCATTACTTTCAACACTCCTGCACTACATTGCATTAGTTTAGCGTTAAGATATTCTTAGTGCAAACCACCCGAGTCAGCTCACTGGATTTTTCCTTTATTGGCTACTGAAGTGAAGCAGCCTATTTTGGAGCAATAGCATCCAAAAATGTGTTTTGAAGACAAGATATTAATAAAACTAACCTCTGAGGCGGCTGTGGGTCAGTAGTAGAGTCAGTCTTCTCTAACTGGAACACTTAACCCTAAATTGCTCCCACTGCTTAGTTGGTGGTGTATGAATGGGATTAGATAATAGCCTACTGATGGCCACTTTACACCACAGCCTCTACCATCAGCGTGTGAATGGATAGGTGTGACCTGCAGTGTAAAAGCGACAAGATTATAATCTAATCCTTCAACCACTGGTAATCAGATACCTTTGAATTGCTGGTAAAGGTATTTTATATAAACACGATGGTATCCCCAAATGTATTTACCAATGCCACTTCCTGCATGTTAATCCAATAATATCAATAAAGACAGTTCAGGTATTTTACAGTTCTTAAAAATTGATTTATAATATACATGACTTTAAAGGTCACAACTCTTTGTGAGAGTATAGGTTTAAGGAAAGGGTGGAATTAACAGTCCTGTCTGGATTTATTAAAATTCTGGTCGGTATACTTGTAAGATAAATTGGATAAAAGTTTGGCTCATTATGGCCACATTTTTAATTCATAAGGCTAAATTCATGAAGCCCCACCCATAGTCTCATCTTATAATGAAATTCAACTCTTAACTAAGTCTCTTAAATTCATGATATCCAAATTATCTCTTTAAATTACTTAAAAATGACCTCATAATTAAATGTTTTGCCTTACAGTTTGTCAATTTGTATTAACTGCAACTAAGAAATAAGAAGGTATGCTTCCTGGTTACAATGAAAGTGACATTTCTTATAATACATTACTAAAATAATATTATGGTGTTCAGGCTGTTGTGTTGTTCTAATGTCAGTGTTTGGATCAGTCTATAGGTGTGCAGCAGTAAATGTTTTAATGGGCCGAAAAGTTTGGGAACTTCTGGCCCGGTCACTTTGTAAGTCATGACCTTTCAAATGCTTTAAAAAACAAATCTTGTTGTTTTGATAACTTACCCTGGTATGAAAACAAATAATTCACACTGTGAGAACAAACGTGGTTAAGAGCTGTGGTCGGTTCTCTCCTAAAGGACAAATGTAAATACAAAAGAACAACACTGTGGGTTCCCTTTTATTCTTAAAATTTTATGTACAAGTGCGGCTGATTTATTTTTTTTGAATGTACATTCAATATAGAAAGTTTATATACGCAATATTACATTGAACAAATTGCACTAGTCTTTCACATAGATTCAGAATCAGAGTCAGCGTCATTCGTCAGGTCTTTGCAGAAGCTCATTTCCGGTGGTTATTATTCACTCATAAATATTCTAGTGCTTTTTGCATTCTGGGGAGGAAAGAGAATTACCTTACAAAAAAAAAAAGTGAGGCATGAAGGGAAGCCTTCAACGAGAGAGGAGAGAAGTAATTATGAATTAAGAGCGATAGGCTGGATGTTTGATCTGAGTCAACCTGGTGAAACCCGAAAGGGTCGGCCTCTGTCCAAAGGTTTGATAGTCAGTAAGCTGAGAAATTATACACATATGTTTTCTGATTTCCTATTTTAACATTTGTTTCCTTTTCCATATGAGAATCTGTTATATGGACTAATAAATCAAATGTAAAAAAAAGGTGGATAGGTCCTGTGCACTAATGTGTCACCATTGTTTCTGTTGAGGTTTTTTTTGGAAGTGTAGCCAATCAGGAATGATAAGGGGGTGAGATAATAGAGAGGAGATCTATAATAAACCTCAGTCGTTCTCATGAAAAAAAGAAAAAAATAGAGTAAAAAATATGTCCATACAAAAAGTAAACTCTTCTGTGTCACTGGAAGAAACAAGAAAAGTGGAACAGAGGAAAAAAAAACATGTGGTCATCATCCGATAAAACATTTGTAAGTGTTCATGAAGACTTGAGTGCCAATTGTGAGGGGAGAGGAGAGTGATGCTGGAGGAGGTGTTGAAGAAATTTTGGTGACGGTCATCGACGGCCCGTTCTCCTCCTCCATCCTTCTCTCTCTCTCTCTCTCTCTCGGTCCCCCTCGTCTGGGAGCTGAACAGCTGCGGCCGTGAGGCTGCAGGGCAGTCTGGGTGCCTGAGCGTGACTGTGTGTGTGTGTCCATCAGCCTTGGTCTCCGATGTCGTTGTCCACGGGGGGTGGGACGCTGGGCATTACTGTGGTGCCAGTTCCTGCTGTAAGGTAACCCGCTACTCCTGGACCTACAGGTGACAGGAAGGCAGAGATGTTTCAGCACAGGTGCGGCTTTGCAGGACAGCTGAAGTGCTGCGAGTAAAATACTTTGATGTACTAAACTACTGAATGTATGGAGTTATGAACAAGGATGGAGGGCTTAAAGAATCCAGAGTCTCTAGATGAATGGATTTGTTGCAGATGTATGGAGCCCTGTCAGGTTTCACCCTTAACATTTATAAAACAAAAGCTTACCTAGGCTGCTCTATTTGTTTCAGTCCTTACCCATTCATATTCCTATCAATTTAGAGAATGGGACATGGTGATATCCCGATTCATCTGGAATGGTAAACACCCCTGGATAAGATACAAAACTTCGCAGTTGCCAAGACACACTGGAGGGATGGCACTTTTGAGCTTTTTCGATTATTATCTTGCAGCTAAGAAGACCAACGATGCTGTGGTGCAATTAAAAATATATAACAGTTAAAGCTCCTGTGAGGAATTTTCAGTTTTTGTTGATTTTGGAGACCCCTGTGGAGAAAGCGGATACTGCAGGAGGAGGAATATGTAAAGTTTTTGCGCACGGGAAATGTGCTAAACATTTAGTCTTTCCGACAGCGAAGCAAAACGAACACTTGGACCAAAAACAGCTTTTCTAAAATGAACTAAATGATGAGGTACAATGTCCCCATCTGCAGTGGAGCATAGCCTTGCTTCCTTGCTGGTACTCCTTTGGGTTTCTCAACAAAGGGGCCATGATGACCAGCGTCATGAGGCGTACACAAATACCAATGACAAGTACCTCATACCACCTCACTTGACTTATGAAACATAAAAAAAAAACATTGTAGCCTCGTTCATAACCAGTAAAAACTCCTCACAGGAGCTTTAAAGTCATTAAAGTTATAATTCAATTTTCCTTTATTCATTCTTTGGTTAATTTCTGTGGTTTTTGTGAATGCACTTTTTTCTGTCATTGGTGTCTACAGACTGCCAACATTTATCATTTCATTAGGCTTTATAGTTTTCTAATTTCAAACTTGGCTGGTTTCTCACCCACAGCAGACTGGAAATCCCCCGATCTTTCCCAAAGTCATATCACATGGTGAGTAATCACACTCATGTGTCAATGTTTGGTTATTCTCTGATACTAGGATAGTGTGTCAAAGAGTTAGTGGATGAGATGAAGATGGTATGACGTGATTTTCAGCACTGCAGAGATTGGTGATGGAGGTGGGTCAAAAATGGAGGTTAAGAGGACAGGAATGGCAGTAAGAGCCAGGTCACAGTCTACCTGCATCAGAGCAAGAGAGAGGAGAGCTGCGAGGGCCCTGCTTAGGAGTCTAGAGCCCACCTCGCAGTGGGCTGCTGGCGGCCAGGAGAGAAGGAGTGGAAACCCCTGAGGATGAAATGTGGAGGAACACAAAGGAAGGGAAGGAGAGCCAAAAGGTTACAGGAGAGGAGAGAGATAGGATCGCTGGATTCAAGCACAAGTGAGGAGTCAGCCAAGAGGGGTTTTTATTTTTAGGATAAAGCAAAGCATTAAGAAATAAAACAGCTCGGAGACAAAGAAGTCATGACTTACCTTTTAAACACTCAGGGGGAAACCATTTAAAACGACTTTAGGTGTTAAACAAATGTGTGATTAGTGCTGCTGTGTTTTCATGGAGTAGAAACACTTTACCTGTCAGGTATCCAGCGGTCTGAGACTCTGAGATGAAAAGATCGTGTTTCTGGTCTTTGAAGGCACTCCAGACTGATGACCTCGCTAGAATCTCATTCACCTGCAAAGTGGGGATTAAACAAATAGTTTAAAATGTTTCATCATTCATTTGATTACATGAATTAATCCTGTCGTTGAGATAACCCTGCCATACCTGTTCTCCAAACTGCAGACTGCGGGTCATGGACTTGAG